AATATCAGTAAATTTAGGAAAGAAGGAGTTGTTTTCAGGGCTAGCAGCTATTTTCCTCCAAAGCAATGTTTTGCTATAAGGCAGCCATTGGATTTATAAGAATCCAAAATAGTTCAAAGGACTGTACCTGGACTGTATTCCTACTGACTGACTAACATTCAAATTGATCATCTTCATGTGTAAAATAGAACCAAAAGCTAGCAGCAGTATTACTTGAATAAGACTGCATATACTGCACTATAGGACTATTAGAAAACTTCCACTTCAGATCCAACATAAACACTTAAGTATAAGAAATTAAATAATACTTTATAATGCCTTGCTAAGACCACACTTGGAATACTGCATCCAGCTTTGGTCGCCACAATGTAAAAAAGATGTTGAGACTCTAGAAAGAGTGCAGAGAAGGGAAGCAAAGATGATTAAGGGAAGCAAAGATGATTAGGGGACTGGAGGCTAAAACATATAAAGAACGGTTGCTGGAATTTGACATATCTAGTTTAATGAAAAGAAGAACTAGGGGTGACGTGATAGCAGTGTTCCAGTATCTCGAGGGTTGCCACAAAGAAGAGGGAGTCAAGCTATTCTCCAAAGCATTGAAGAGAGGACAAGAAACAATGGATGGAAACTAAACAAAGAGAGAAGCAACCTAGAACAATCAGTGGAACAACCTGCCTCCAGAAGTTGTGAATGCTCCAACACTGGAAATTTTTAAGAAGAGACTGGACAACCATTTGTCTGAAATGGTATAGAGCAGAGGTCCCCAACCTTTTGGGCACCAGGTTACATGGAGAGAGGTTTTTCCGCAGACCAGAGGGGGCATGGTTTTGTGTGCTACCTGCATTCTGCAGATGGGGCTTTGCTTGTTGCTGGCATGGTACAGGTCTGTTAATTGATCAAGTCAACCAAAAACATGCATTAGCATCAAAATATCCTTTTTCCCCAAGTTGTTTTATTATATTATAAAATGTGTATAATATATATTGAATAAAGATGATAGTGTATAGTGATGTTTATGCAATAAAAACTAGAAATTGTTAACACTGATAAGATAAACTAAACCTTTAAAGATGAGGGGGAAAGTGTATATCAATGTTAAATATCATTTCTAAATTGTTAATCAACATAAGGCTCCTGCAGCACCAAAATATCAAGGCCCGACAAAGTAATAACTAAGATATTCAGAATAAGTGACACCCACTAATTAAGCATAACAGGTCTGCTCATTCAAGACAGAAAATTCAAACTTGAACTTTTAATTGGAAAAACTATGCCAGTCTCTCGAAAACAATTCAAAAGAAATTTCACCCCGATAACCAAAAAATTACATCACCAAGCATTATTAATATTATTAATAATTAATATTATTAATTTCACTGAGTCCTACGGGAGAAGGGCGGGATATAAATCCAAATATAAATAAATAAATAAAATACCTCAACATAGTTCATTCACAAAGTTTCTGAGCCAAACAGAAACTATGTCACTATGCAACAAAGTTATTTCACTAAACATGATTATCTATGGTCTTATTAATTCAATAAAATCTTCCATAATGGCAAAGTCATATCGGGTGTCATTTTTTTAATGCAGCAGAATAAGCAATTCCAGTGCTGAAGACCTGCCTTAGAAGGAAAAAGAGTGAGAAAAAGTCAATGCAGAATTGGGGAGGGGGCGCAAGCGACTGACAAAGAAAGGTATCAACTGCAAATATTCCATAACCCTTGTACCCTTATCTCCCGCCCTTCAGTTGTTTTAAAAATTCAACCAACCACGTCCTGTTCTTTATTCCCTTGTCCCGTGATCTGAATACTTTTCCCGAGCCCCGATCTCTCACCCCCTGCGGATCCTTGACGAAATAGCTGCCGCTAGAACCTTGGTAGATGCGCTCAGGGTAGATTCCGCGTTCGCTCGCCAGCTCTGCCAGTCGCACTACCTCGGCGAATTCTGGGTCATCGGGAAATTCATTCCGGTGCTCCCGTTCACTTCGACCCGCGGCGATCCCTACTCCGACCCCCACTGGAGCCTGAGTCTGGGTCGCCCCGGCTACTGCTACAGTGCCCCGCGTGGCTCCACGCTCCGCACCACCACCCCGATCCAACAGCGGCTGGCGCTCCCGGTCGCGGCCACCTGCGGGGGATCCCGGTGGGGAGGGACAGGGACACGGTCCAGCGGGAGTACTAGAGGCAGCGGGGCAAGGCGGGGAGCGCACGGCACCCCCAGGCAGCCCATACCCCGGGGCCGGACCGCGCTCTGGAGATACCAGCGGGCTCGTTTCATCCATAGGCCGAGCCGGTCCGAGGCGCTGATCTAACCCCGGATGGGCGCTTGCACGCATAAACCACGGCCCCGCGGTCTCAGACTCAACGCCGCTCAGTTCGGATCACCTGACACCGGCCCGCGGCCACTGCCGTTTCCGCCAGAGTAGCATCAGCGAATCACAGCGCGGCCACGCCCCCTGTTTACAGGGTGCCCGGAAGCCACGCCCACTAGAGAGCCCATCGTCCATTTGCAAAGCTTGTGCTGTCCCGTGTACGCCCCTTCATTATGTAGAGTTCCGCCTCTCCCTTCCTAGCTAAGTCATGCCTTTTGAATGGAGATTAAATATAGATCCATTCCTTTGTTTTCAATCCGTGTTTTTTTTTCACTAGGCCCCTATTGCCATAATTCCGTTATCTAGAGCAGAGCCCCGCCCTCATTCTGTATTACATATACATTTTACTGTATACTGTATCGTCTCCTGATTATGCTGAAGACATTTTAAGTCATCTATAGCTCCGTTGCAAAAATCACGCCTACGTATTCTGCGCTGATTGCAAAGATCAATTATCAATATGTTACACACAATTCTTTCCGCTATGTCAATGTACAGTAATACTTCGTGTACATAATAATACCGCTTTGGAATATCATACGATCTTATTGTAAATCAAAAAAATAATACATTATATATCCTACTGCCTGGGCTGCAGAAAGGCTGGCGTTACAATCGTACCGGACGGACTACGTGGCTCTTAAGGGATTTAAAACTTGTAGCGGGAAATAGCAAGTTTAACCCATAGCCCTTAATCGCAATAATCCGTCTTTAAAGACTCCCTTTTCTTAGGAAACGGCTGGCTGTACCCTCTGTATGTTTATGATCTCGTTGGTTTCCGAGAATTTTCTACCCACCCCCATTCACTTTCAGCACGGGAACCAGGACAACATTCTCACTGAGTAATGGAGTCACTGGACAGTTTTCTTGATTTGTCTTCCGCCTACCCAAGAGCTAGTTTGGTGCAGCGCTGAAGGTGCTGGCCTAAAAACCAGACCATTGTGAATTCTACTCCTTGCCTTAGGTATAAAAGTCGACTAGGTGACTTTGAGCCAGTCACTCTCTTTCAGCCCAACCCACCTCACCGGGTTGTTGTTGGGAGAGAAATAGGAGGAAGGAGTATTATGTATGCTTACTGCCCTTGAGTTACTTATAAAATATAAAGGCAGGATAAAAATCTAGTAAATAAATCCTGTTAGAATTCATCTGCTTTAATTATCTGCTGCCCTGGTCTTTTGTTTCAGTTATTCTAATGTTGGGAAATTGACAGAGTTGGTATTTCTGGCTGCTGTGAGATAAAAATGTTGAAGAACAATCGCAACTCCTACATCCCCAACTCCGTCTCAACTTGTTCCAGAATGGCATGAACTTGCCAATCCCTGCCCTCCTTGCCCCACCGCCAACGCTGTGTTGCAAATGCTGTACTTCTTCAAAATGACAGTTCCTATTTAAAGGGGGGGAAGGGAGAATGTTTTGCTTTAAGCTATAAACACTTGAAAATTTAACCCCCTTCCCACTTCCTTAATAGCCTTTGTGTGTGTCTCAAAATCATCAGCTATTGGACACTATTACATGTTTTATTTCATTATTTTCATTCAGAACTACTTAGCCTAAGAGTTGCATAATATATTGAATATAATGAAATCTTTTTCTGGCAAAACATTTTTATTTCTCAAGTGCTTGCATGATGTCATCAAAACTGTTAATATCAATATAAACACAATTCACAATATATTCATTCCAATGCATGCTGGCTGTGTCATGTGTGAAATCTTTATAGAATAATCATAGGGATGTCAGATATATATCCATTATTCAATGAAAAATAACATTGAACTACTATTGTAGTACTGAAGTTTATATTTTTAAAACTAAATTCTTCCATTTACCTATTCATTAGGATATCTTGATTCAAGCAATAGAAAGGGAATAACTTAATTTGTTTGCTTTTGGATTAGCATACTCTATTTTTTAAATTGTAGTTTATGGCTCAATGCATTGTATAATCTATAAACAAGTCAAATGTTATTTATTTACTAAAGCATAGTTAAACAAATTATTACGATCCATTTAATTTCACTTAGCTATCATAGAATAAGAATTTGGGTGATCTCATATGCTACAAAAAAGAAAATTTTCACAGTGGAGAAAAATGTAAACTCCCAGATTGGTTTACATTATAAACTGTTTTATCCAACTCTTACTAAAATAAGTTAGGATACTGTAGGACACATTAAGGAAAGAGAAAAATAAATGTTGCAGTTATTGGTATTTTTAGTAAACATATAGCTTGACCTATAGGAATTTTATAGCGATTCAGTACCTTTTTACTATATTAATGACTTATTTGGTATTAGGAATGAGAAAATATGACATGTCATATTTCAGATGATTTTTACATGATTTACATTAATTAAGAGTAATTTATTTCCAAAACCTTTTAGGGAATAGAAAAATGGTGCTCTTGGGGCTAGATTATTATTTATTATTATAGACAATGTTACTTCTCTTTTTTAAATTCTGTTTTTCTGTTAATATGGTCAATCATCCAGAGACCTATTGCTTATTTACTTAGATAATGGGTTTATGCGGGGTATTTATTGTGTATTTACATAATTTATATGCCTGCCATCTTGTAACTCTGGGCATCTGACAAAGTATAAAACACAAATTTATAAAAATTATAAAAATATATATACAATTAAAACTCATACTACAATGAACAAGGCTCCTCACAAGAATTCATTGTTTAGTGTGTGTGTGTGTGAGTTCATCTTATAACAAATTTGTGCTGATTGGTGGCTCCCAATCAAAAGTTAAAACAACATAAAAGCCATATTAAAACTATAAAATTAAATATATTAAAAACATCAAGAACAACAAAAACCTGGTTCTTCAGATATGCAGTTGCCTAATCTTATTCTAGCGCTTGAGGGGAAAGCCAGGTCTTTATGCAAGGCTAGGAAGGTAGAGGCCTATCAAATTTTAGGGGGCAGAGTATTCCCATAGGGCAAGGGCTGCCAGGGATAAGGCACACTCTCTAGCTCCCATCAGATGGCAACATTTAGAGGAGGGATTAGGAGCATGCCACACTGTCTGACCTGATAGGATGAGTAAATGTCCTTAGGAAAAAACAGTCCCACAAATAACCTGATCCTGTGCCATATAGGGCTTTAAATATGATGACCAGCACTTTGAGTTACACCTGCAAGGAAACTGGAAGCAGTGCAGTTCACAAAACAGAGGTGTTGCATGAGAAAACCTAGGGACCCCATTACTATGCATGCTCTGCATTCTGAAACAGTTGAAGTTTCTTGGTGGACTTTGAGGGCAGATCCATTTAAAGTGCATTGCAATAATCCAAACAGGCAGTGACCAAGGCATGAGTGACCATGAGCAAGATCAGGAAAGGAAACAATTAGCACACTAGACAAATCTATGCAAAGGTCCCCCTAGCCACAACTGCCATCTGCTCCTGGAGTAGAAGTTGTGAGTTCAGAAGAACCCCCCACCCCATTTGTGCACCAGCTCAATTTGGTGAAGTGCCACTGTATCCAAAGTCAAAATAAAGTATTATTTAGACCTGGGGGGGGCAGACACCCATAACCATTCAGCTTGCCAGGATTGAGTTGAAGCCAGTACCTCCCCTGCCAGAGATATATAATTAGGTACCATTAGCGTACTGATGATATTAAATTCTATGCCAACAAATGCCAGAAGACCTAGCAGCTCCATGCAACTGTCAAAAGGGAGTGGCGAAAGGCTCCAGCACTGGACATCTCATATTGCAGGGGCCTAGGGCTTAACTTCTCAACCACTGCCAACACTGAATGGATCAGGCCATGGAGGAAGGAGGAGAACTACCACAACACAGTGCCTCTCATTCACAAGCCTCAAAGCCACTCTAGAAGGAGACCATGGTTGATGGTATCGAGAGAGGCCCAGGAAGGTCACACCACCTCCATCCCATGTTCTGCAAAGGTAAGGTCAAAACACATGTCTAAGTTGGTAAAGAAGAAGTTTTCTGATATTTGCCTAGCCTCAATGCTAATATACCAGTCGTAATCTATATACTAGTAAAATTCTCATGTTTGTGTGTAATCTTTAACTGGGTGAAACAATGCATCATGAGGCAACAATTTTTGAACCAAGGTACCTCAAACGGCCTAGCTTGCAGAACATGTCCAAAATCCAAAATCTATGATACCCATGGAATTGAAATTTGGCAAATTTTATGAAATATTTTGTAACATAAAAATTAATACAAAATGTCATAAAACATTTCCTGTGGTCAACTCTTAATGTTTGATTATGCTATAGAGTTCACTATGGGCTATTTTCAGGACAAATACATCTCTGAATATCTCTCTCCCTCCCTTTTCCAGTGAAGGCAGTAAATTAGAAGCTTGTCCATTGTTAAAGGCATTCAGAAAATATCTCTGAAAAGATAACCAAATGGGTCACAGTTGCTTAATATAACTCCTCTACCCATTAAATTTTATGCAATAGTGGCAACTATCTGTAGCTTGGGTGTAGGATGAGGGTGAAGGTTCATTCTCCAAACTTGTGGGTTGGTTTCTGAATGTTTCATTACCAGGCTGGGTAACATCTTCAGCAGAGTTTAGGCGGATGTCAGTGTTCTTCTGTTTATAAGGGCTTCAGGTGTGGGTGTGTCAAGTGAGGGTCTGTGATGCATCTTGTGATGGGTCAGGTGTGAGTCATCAGTGAGTCTTGTGATGGGTCTTGTGGTGGGGAGGTTACATCAGGTCAGGGTCATTGGGAGGTGAACTGCTGGTGGGAGGGGGGCTTGTGAGGGTTGGTTGATGGTTGGTGCCATCTCTGGTTTGCTGTGCGGTTGATTTGGATTCCGAGGGGTTTGTAGGCTGGTTGTAGGTTGATGTGTCTGTTGATGGAATTGCTTGTCGAGTGCCAGGCTTCGATGAACTCAGTAGCATGGCATATAGCTTGGG